GACTAGTGAGGCCAAGGTGAGTGCATACTAGTGACATGTAGTGTTTAATGGAAATAAGACTTGCGATGAGTCTATTTCCTAGAGTAATATGCATGAAGTCATAGACATGATTATGTGTTGGTTATAACTATATGATTATATGTATTACATTGATTGTATGTATGCATGACTAAAGATAATGATATGCTTTGTATATGCTATATGATTTATGTAAAACTTTATTATGTAATAATGGAAGAACATGGAATAAGTTATATGATAGAGTCATAAGAAATGAAATGAACATGAGAGAATAAGATAATCAAGTATAAGTCATATGATATGGTATAAGTGATTATACGAGAAATGTTAGGAGACTCTAAGAGAATAGTATAAATTCGAGGGCATAAATAAGGATACATAAGTTATATAGGGAAAATTGATAAATTAAAGGAAACTATGGTTTATGTATTAAAGTGAAGAGTTACAAAGTTTTATTAAAGAGTATTGTGGAAGTCATGAGAAATTAAACTAAATAAATAGATGGTTTATGTGAGTGAAAAGGGAAAATGATATAAAATAAGTGGAAATTATTTATAGGATAGAATGATACTAATTGAACCTGTAATATAAACTTTATAAAGAGTACTTGGGTAAAATCATTATATGATACAATTATAGAATATTACTATACAAATTATATTAAAATAGTATATATGAGAATATGAGTAAGTTTATAGGTTATTGATAGGACATATAAGAGTATATAAATGTATGATAATATGAAAAAATGAACTAAGTTTAATGATGTTGAACCCTATGAGTAGAAGTTATGTGATTATAAGTAACATGATTATATGATCACAAGATATGATACATGATATGAGATATATGAAAGAGAAAATATATGTTATATGAAATATTATATGACTATGCGATTATATGAAAAGGTTCTACGCTTAAGTGAACCATGTGTTTATATGTATATGGGATATGTGATTTATATGATGATGAACTATGTGAAAGAATTATATGACTATGTGTATATGTGAATGTATGTTAACATAAATATTAATGCTCATGTTATGTGTCATGAGAGCTAGGGGTATAGTTGGCATGCCAAGAGTTGAGGGTCTACGCGGTCCTTCGGGACATATATGTATTCTTTGGAACATGTGTGAAGTCTGGTGAGACACATACTTGATCCTTGGCATATGTATATGATTCTTAAGGAATGATATGTGGTCATTTGGGACATATGTGTATTCTTTGGAACATGTGTGAAGTCTAGTGAGACACATACTTGATCCCTAGTATATGTATATGATTCTTAAGGAATGATATGTGGTCCTTATGGACATTATTATATGGCACTACGGTGCAATTCTACGCGGCACTCCGGTGCAATTCTACGTGGCACTTCGGTGTAATTATACGAGTTGTGGTGACAGCATAGTGCACAACCTCTATAGACTCACATATCTATAGTTCTCACATGTGTACATGGGCTTTGAAAAGAGAACATAATTTGATATAATGATATGTGTATTTCTCGTGACATGGTAGAAGTGCATATATGTCATGGTGATATGAGATGCTATGCGTTTATGTATTATATGATTATAGAAATTAGTAATGTATTGTGGCATATTAAAATATATATAATATGTTTATATTCATTATATGCTCATGTGACGGAATTGAAGTAATGACAAGGGAATTAGTAAGGATAAACAGGTTGGTGATATGAGAACAATGTATGTGATATATGTATATGATGTGTGATATGAATTGCATGATATGATATATGTGTGATAGGGGTTATGGTATCTGTTACATAATATACATGAATATATGTTGATGTATATGTAAATGAGTTGTATAATTTGATAGCATAAAACAGTCATGCATGATTAGTGGGTATGAATTCCATTAGACGTGTTTTCTTTATGCCTCACTAAGTCATCGACTTAGCGTGTGAGTGTTTCACACGCAAGTTACAGAAAGTGAATATAGAAGCTGTGAGGAGCAATACAGGTCAGCATCTCCCTTACAAGATTTCAGATCAGAAAATAGATGAGTTAAATGATTTTTTCTATTTTGAATATAGTTGGCATGTACTAATTGATTGAGTTAAATATGCTCTGATCGATTTTGGTTATTGTGGTCAAATTATGTAACTAAACTACTTTTACTTTAATGAAAGTTTTAAATTTTCTTTGAATTTTGTCAAGAGTCAAAGTTTGAAAAGTCAATGTGACACCTCAGACTCGTATCCGGGTCGGGTACGGGTTGGGGGTGTTACAGACTAAATCTGAACACATGTAAAATTAAACATACTAATTTAAAATTAAAACAGAGACTTAAAGAAAAGCAAGCATAAATATCATTGACTTAAACCTAATTTAACCAAAAACTTTACTATAACTTAACTAAAAAAAAACTTAGTAATTTGTTGAAACAAAAGTGCACACACGCCTCACCCTCTCCATTATCCCCTCTTATCTCTCGCTAAACTCACAACTTAAACTTTAATGGTTGCCTCCCAACGCTACTGCTTCACTCATTTTTTGATAGCCATGGATCAGACCAACTAAAGAACAAAAAAAAACAGAGGATTTTTTATTCAAAAATAAAGAATAAATCAAAACGATTTACCTCACTTTTAAAAGAGCCATTCACTTTCCTTACCGGCAGAAAGAGAGCCTCGATGATTGGAGGTAACATACGAATCCTTTTCGTTTTTATTTGTCTGGGATTTTAGGGATTGTGTTCTTATGATTTAATAGTTTTTTTTGGGTTGTTGGTGAGTTATACGTCACGGTTTAAGGTATCCATAGCTGAAATAGTGGTATTGGGGTCCTTTGTGTTTTCAATCGGGACTAAAAGCGACGGTAATGGCGGCTTGGGCGAAGCAACGCTTTGCATGGAGAAGATGAGTGGAGAACATAGTGAGAGAGCGACAAAGGGAATTTCATGCGTGCAATTTACTTAGGTTTAGTTTAATTTAGCTTTTATATTAAATGTTTTGGGTAAATTAGTTTTTAGCCATCGAAAGTTTAAGGTAAATATGTTATTAGGCCCATATATGTTAGGTTTATTTTTGCGTTTTAATCACTTTTAGGACTGCTTTTGAATTTAATCCTTTGTGTTTGTCCTGATTTAGCTATTTTCTCATTTTTAATTTAGTTGTAATTTTGTTGGGTTATTTAGGTGTAGATCCCTTGTTATTTATGTTTGTTTTTTTTATTTAAGTCTCTATTTTGATTTTTAATTCGTATGTTTAATTTTATGTATAATTAAATTTAGTTCTTACTCTAAGATGTATATATAGTTTTTAAAATTTATAGTTTGACATGTTATGTTTTTGTTTTTTGTATTTGAGTCACATTTGTACATTATATGTTAATATGCATGGTTTATAATTTTTAATTTTAAAATGCATGTACATAATTTTTGTATGTCACGTTGTATGATATTTTTTAATTTTGTTTAATTAATTTTGGCATGACATCCACTTTTTGCATAATTTGCATGATAGCTTCACGTGCATAACTCGACCTATTATATAATCGGACTAAGGGTAATACCCTTTTAATTTAAAATTATCTCGAGTGGCATGTCTTAACTGATTAGAGGGTCGTTTTGACTATTTTAAATTAAAAGTGTATCCCGAAAGTGAAACAAAAAAATTGATTCGTCACCTAAAATTTGGGAACGAAAGAAAAGAAAATGTTCGTTTATTTAAATTTATCGAGAAAATGTTGTTATAGCTTTTAAGATCTGGTCTCGATATTTGTAAATAATCGAACATTCTTTATCTTTCTAAAACGACTTGGTAATTTTAATTTAATTTATTTGAGTGCTTTTGAATATTGTAAAATTCATATTTGTTATTTTATGGGATTAAAAGTCAAATTAAGTTTGAATTTGTAAAGTTCATTGCAAAGACGTTAATTAATCGACTAGGTACCGATTTAGAGCGTTGTGGGGGTGCTAATCCTTCCCCGCACGTAAGCGACTCCCAAACTCGGATTTTGGCAACGCATACCTTAATTTGTTGTTTTAATTAAAATTAATTTTTATTTAAAATAATAAATATTTTTGGGTGCCCAATCACACCCTAATCAAAGATTGGTGGCGACTCTTTGAACCGTATATTTTCGATCGTAAAGGAAATCCAAAATTTTTTTGAAACGAGGTTTTTTAAATCACATTTGTTTTAAATTAAAAATTAATTGAAAGAGATAATTCAAAAATTGATGTGATTTTCAAAATCTCATATTTTTCACCTTTAAGAAAAAATCGTTTCGACAATTGGAACATATTATCTCTTGCAATAAGAGATTCCAAACCCGTATTCATTTCAAGTGTTATACTGTATCTTTGGCTGCCATAGTAAAAGAACTCAGTTGCTCAATCTCATGACAAGAAAACCATCCTCCTTCAAATAAAGTAAAGCACCGCACATCAAATACTGAGGCATTGTTCTATAAATAAAGAACAAGGAGACCAGAAGTATGTATCCCAACCCAACAGCGACCGTTATCAATCATTTCAGCTCTTATCTCAATCCAATGAGACCCAAGCGAACAGATTAACAAAATCCATGTACATTTCTCATACTGCCTTACCCTTAAAACTTCTTATAAATTCAATAGAAATAAAACTGAATACAAGTTGAGCAATGTTTAAAAAAAAAGCAGGGAATGCACATCTCTTCCACATGAAACGCTTGAAAATGTTGACATTCCTTCAACTATGTGCAATAAATTGAGTCAAAATATCCCAAAGCTTAAAAATGCCTTTCATTTACAGATTTCAAAAAAGAAACCTACTTTAACTATCTCTAATGTAATCCCAATCTATACCATGTAACTGCTGAAAACAGATAATTAAATAATAAAACTCATAACCCTTTTAACCAAAAACTTATTATTCAAAGAAAAATAACCACAATAATCCAGGGGAAAAATGAGTAAAACAGAATAAATATTGCAAGAGAAGTAATGGGCCATTACCAACAAAGCAGGGTAAGATTCAAAATCCTCCAAAGTCCAAGTCTTCCCAGTCAGAGGCTCTGGCAACTACCCCCCAAAGGAAACAAAAATATTTGTAATTAATACAGGGTAAAAAAATAGATTTGTTTAACATGTAAGTTTTTTTTTTTATGTTTTGGTAATGGAGAAACCTGGAAATTAGGAGCCCTGGAACCAAGAGAAACGCCTTGAGACTCGGTTCTTGAAGCTCGGATAACCAAAAGCTTCTTTCTTGCTGGTTCATTGTTCCTTATCCGCACTGGGGAAAAACCCAACTTCGAGTATGACGCCGTTGTCACGAATGAAGAAGTCCTGATAGAATCTAACGTGCGCGGGGCTGAAAGTAAACGTACGCCTGCTGTGGTTACTGTTACTGCTCCAGCAGCAGCAACCGCCATTTTAAGCTAAACCGATCAACTGCCACCGAAATAGTATGAAACTAGAATAAGATAAATTTGCCAAACATTTAGCTATCATTTGAATAAAAATTAGCTAACCGTTATTCTTATGTAATATGATAAGGGGAGGCAGTATAGTAAGTTGTCTTTAAGAGTATGTAAAATTATTCGATTCAGTTGACTTGATCCGTTGACCCGCCAACTCAGATCTAAAAAAATCGGATAATTCTCTAAAAAAAATTATCTGGCCGGGTCGGGTACCCGGCCCGACATTTTCCGGGTCGGGCCCGGGTCACAAAATCTAGTTTTTTCGGGTACCCGAAGTACCCGGTTAGTTTTTATTTTTTTATATTTTTTTATATTTTTTTATATATAATTATATAAAATATAATGAATTATTTATATTATGGATTATTATATTTTGTATTTCGAACTTTTAAATTTTATGTTCGAATATTAGAGTATGTAATTCGAAGTTTCGAACATTTAAATTTGTGTATATATTTTTTTAAATTAATAATTTAAAAATAAAAAATTAAAAACCGAGTATCGGATACCCGTAACATCCGGGTCAGAACACGGACCGAAAAATCATCGACCCGAAAGTTCTGGGTACCCGGAAATCCGGGTATCCGGATTTGCACACCCCCTGTCTCAACCCCCATTTTTTTGGATTAGCTTCTCTTGAAGTCCATTAAATATGGTCTCTAAATCCAAAAGCCTACTACCTTATTATTATATATTGTTTTTTAATAAGTTACAAGTACAATAATAATTGTAAATAATAAATTTAAATTAATTATAAATAAAATTAATTATTATAATATATCATAAAAAAACAATCAAATTGTATCAAGATTAAGTCATAACAAAACTAAACATGATAATACAAACTATAATCAATCGGAAAAAAAAAGATAATCTATACAAACAATACCCAAATTTGAGATCTCAACGTTCATCAAAATTATATATATATAATTGGACTGTTATTCTTTGATTTATAAATCGTAAAATTAACTTAAATAATAATGTTAAAAGATAAAATACTTGGAAAGAATCGAATATATGTTGTCAACATATACCAACATAGATTGGTTTAAGTGGTAGGCAACTTGATATCGTTTAAGCAAGGTCTTAAGTACAAGTTTTTATGTATGTAGAAAATCCTTGTTGGGAGACTCACCTACTAAAATCAGAAATACAACGCGGGTCAATCCGTATTAGTCAAAGCAAAGCCTTATAACCGGAAGTTGAACCAAAAAATATATTTTGGTTACCTGTTAACACCGTAATAAATCATCCTAAACCACTCCTTCACTAGTTATATGCTTAGAGAAAATTTATAATACTGGCCACTTTTCATCATCAAATGCATAATGTTTTAGTTGTAATTTAATAACGTTTTCTTGTTTGAGTTTATTTGAATGCCTTTTTATTTTCATTTATAAGAGCTGCTTCTGCTGTTATATTCTTTTAGATTCAACGTGTACTTTTTCGATAATATCCCAATAATTATGTGAATTAAGTAGAATTTTTATTTTGAATGTTCTAATTTTCATAATTTATCATCGTCGATTTTGAAATCTTTTGAATCATATTTGTCATCTTTTAATATAAACTCAAACCCAAATTTCAAATTATACCCCATAATTACACTCTTAATCTCGAGTTTTCTACACTAGTTTCAACTCAAAATCTAACAAAAATGGATTTGAATTCTAGTTAAAAGTTTAAGTTGGATTTAAATTCTAACAAATTTCAATGCTTGCAGACATTGATTTCATTATTTGTGCCTTTACAAGAAGAGATCCACTCTATCCTGGTGAGGATATACGTCGATGTTCGTCAACGTATCACCCGGCTTCTAGTTCATCTTTTTAATGCTTTATTTTCTTAACATATGCAGAGCTTTTATCGATTGGATTGGTTAAAGTCTAGATGAGACTGAAGAAAAAGACAAGGGGCATATGGAGTTTGGTTTGGTTTCTTTTATTCCATCCCCCCCCCCCGGGAAACATACATATGTAAATACTCTTGTTAATTGTAAGCAAAATATGCTTTGACAGCTACTTAGGTTTTCTAACGTACCTGCACAAGTTATATACAGAGGATTATATGATACATAAATGTTGTATAATCTGCGTGACAAAAATTATTTGAGTGGCACGATATTATTAGTAGGGACCATATCCTATATGGTAGGAGCCTACCTAATAATTTCTTCAAATTTGGTTTAGCTATAATTGCCAATCGTATATATGTCATAATTTCGTCCATTAATTCTAGTACTGCAAACTAGAGCGAGTAGAACGCACAAAATACAAGAAATGACGGATTAAACAAATACTAATCGTATCAAAAGTTCTCAAATTCAAGGACGGACTAATATAGACTAAAAAGAAATTGCGGGACCATGCTGAAAATAGTAAACAATTTCAAGGACTAAAAGCTGATTTATACCAAAACAAAAGCCGTAACAAGCTATCAGCTTTGATGGCAGTGATCTTGCTCCGTAACTTCTTTTACTTCTGATAACTAATATTATGTGTATTTATATATAAACTTGACAAAAACGGCAACAAAATTCAGTAAGTAAATAATGCTTGTAAAATGGGGTAACATCATAATTTTAACCTGTTCATAAAAGTGATGTCTATACATTTACCAAACCCAGCAAAATTTTGCAGTTTCAGTCAGGGTCTTGCTCTATACATTTTCTCAAGTTAGAGAAGTATGGAGGTCATATCCCCCCCTCACCCCTTCCCCCAAAGTCCTTCACCCTCGAACTATGTCATCATCCAAACCAAGCATTTAAAAGGGGGAAAGTGGGAAAAAGAAAATTTAAGACGACTCGAATTTGCATGTACATGCAAAGCATTTTTGATATTGTCCAGAAAAAAGTGATGTTGAAATACCTTTCGGTAACTCCAATTGTAATGAACAGCTGAAGATACTATTTAGCAGTTTTATTCCTGGATTGGATGTGCTGATGTCTCTTTCCGGTGGCTGACAAACCGCTGTCACTAGCACTGCCTTCTACAACATTATCAATAGCTTCAGAAAATTCCCTATTCCATGAATTTAAGGGGACAAGATAACTGTCATCCTTAGAGTTCCTCCACCGCTCCTCTTCATGGCGTTTCACATTTTTGATATCTGATGGAAGGTCTTGTTTATTTTAGCAATTCCCCTTTCAACCGGTTCAACCACGTGTGACACTGTATACTTCATGTCATCAACAATCTAGAAAAATAATAGAAGGTTCACAAAGTCGGAACTCAGAACATAAAAAAGGAACTTTCACCTCAAGGAAACCAACTAAAAAAATAAGAAAACAAGGGGGAAAAGTATCCAGCCAGAAAACAGAAATTTAAGTCTTACAATTTCGCCACTTCCCAAAACCACATCACGGACACTTTGGGGGAAGTTTAAACGCTTTTCTCTTTCATAATGCCGATCCATGCTCATCCTAGTAGTTCTTTCACAATCTTGGACCTCCTCAGGGTCCGGTGGTGTTCCCAGAGAAGCATAATTGGTCATAACAGCTACATTACGGACACATCTTTCTCCACGCTTGTAAGGTGCCGCAGGAAAGACATAAAGATGCACAACAGCAGCAACACCCATCTATTTTGCAAACATTACGTTAAACCTCCCACAAGAATATCACTTTACATTTTGGAAATAAATTTGTCATGAGACCCTGCCTCAAACATGTATCCAAATGCTAAAGGTACCATGTCTAAATTTGAGCAAGGTAACATGTTACTACAGGAATTTCCAACCTATGTTTTACTCAAAATCGGGACCGTCAGCCATGGATCCAAAAGAGTGTTCAACTATCTCTAGGCTTTCTCTTACATATAGTGTCAAGAGACCCTATCACTATGCCTACTTGGATATGTTAGATATGTGAGCATAGTTTTAACAGAGGTCTCAGTCTTGACTCTTGACAACAGGACCTTCATGTAAAAATGCCTAATGTAGGACTGGACAAATAATTCCTTACCAGGACCCAAAAATGAACGGGACAAGGGGGTAATGATCAGGCAACATATTATCTTGTGGAGACCAACAACAGAAAATTTTTCAATAGCAAAACATCATTGCTTGATCAGCTACACAGATACTAGACTAGTACATTTTCAGATCAACAAAATGTTGCCAACAAAGGATAGACACAAAAAATTTGTAAATTCTTGCTACCAACTATTAACAAAGATAGATTGTTTAAAAACATACCTCAATACAGATAATGTAGTCTTGTATACGGGTTTGCAGTTCTTGAGCCAGTGACCCCTTTAAAGCTCCCAAGGAAAAAAGAAATGCAATGGCAACACCTTGCCACCATGTCAGGAATACAATTGACTTGAATGTCAAAAACTTCGCCAAAGGTCTAATTGGTTCCAACTTGTCTTTAGTAACAGCATAGAACTGTAAAAGACAATATAGGGCCCATGTCTGACTGAAATTTAGAACAACGGCCAAGTATGGGTATCTGCCAGAGAAGCAGAGTCTTAAGGGTCAGCATATGATGATAAACACCCCAAAAACTACTAAAATGATATACAAGAAAATCCTTAGCCATCCATGATAATTATTTATGTGCACTAAAGTTTTCAGATTCTTAAAATGTGGAAGCATATATCTCACCCATATCTCCATTCAAACTTTCCTTCTCCGTAAACTCCAAAGGATTGCAAAATCATTGCTAGTAAAGCACAGATCATCTTCAGTATCATCTGAAAGATGGATACACTGATAAGCACTGGAAGGCTGTAAAATTTCAAAAATAAGTAGATGATCTAATGAAAGATTCTTAAAAATATAAACACATACATACTGAACAATTCCAATCTTTACAGCATGATAGAACTTGGGGCCTAGATACCAATCCTTCAGGAACCAATTAAATGGAAAAGGATGTTCCACAACTCCATATGAATAAGCATCTTCTAAAAGAGGGGTGCTAGCAGTGACTACAGTCTGACTTTCCATGAATTGAATTGTACGTTCCTCCCCACCTACAAACACCATCTTTTCCAGGTCAAATCAAAATTAGGGGGGAAAATGAACACTAAGTAGTAATTATGTTTTGCCGGCTGAAAATGGTAATAGTAAGAAGTGGAAAAAGAATGTAACATGCATGAACCTTTTCCCATCAAGACATCCCAATGGTATCACTAACAGTCCACATGGAGGTTACAACACTTATCTATAACCCCTTCATAAAACCCATGGTAGAAATCCAAGCAGTCTGTTGCTTGCTTGTCACTATATGTCTCTAAGCACGCATCCAGACAAGTGTATATTACAAAGAAAAGTTCTATACATGAGAGCAAAATTATTTAGACAAAAGAATTATTTTAAGCCAGAACTCAGATCACCTAACTAGTACACATGATATTACTTGCAAGACGAAATCATCAAACTACCTAGTTTTAACCACATAGAATTACAAATAGGCAACTTTCTGGGGAATAGATTTCATTTTATAATGTAGCTAACTAGAAGAGCTACAGCAGTAAATACTGTAGGATACGCTAGAAGAGGCAGAGTCAACGATTTCTCACTAACAAATAAAACAAATGCTAAGCCTCAAACAGCCTACATATGAATGAAGCAACTTCAAATAATCATAAGTCACTTAGTCCATTAAACCTCCATTCCAGTGGGCCACCTACATAAGAAGGCAAAGATACGCAGTAACCACGAAATTCAACATTCATAGGGATAAGTCTATATATTTTTACTAGAAGAGGATCTTCTGGATCTTTAATTGAAAAGAGAAAAAAAAAGACTTAAAACATATCCATGTAATAAACAAATTTCCTATTTCAATCACTCTTGTCGATCCCACCAAAGACACAACGAAGCACATATTAACTCCTCAGATAAGCAGTCCTTACACATTTCTCTGCACAATTTATTGATGCTGAAAAAAGTGAACAAATAAAGGCAAACAGAAAAAATAATGAAAAAACATATCAACTCAAAAAGGAAATAAAAAAATGAGAAATTGAATATCTTAAAGGTACTTTATGAGATTGTAATCTATTAATTTATTGTAAACAACTCTTAGTTGCAAATGCAAAAGGAAACAGACGGCCATCTTAGCATACCTAAACAAGCTATCAAATATCTCTCAAAGCAATACAACGCAAAAGCTTCATAACAGTCCCGAATAACTTCACAATTGAAAGCAGCATCTGAGTTCAACAGTGATAAAAACTGCATCCAAAAAATCCAGAGCACAGTTCATATAAATTTACAATTCTTTGCAACAATACATGCAATTTACTTATTTCTTTGGGAAAAATATACAGGGAATCAGAAGACATTTTTATAATAAAATGTGTAAAATAACACCAAGTACTGAGACTTGCATGGACAAAAATTTTAAAGCAGACAGCAACGCGATTGGAAAGGTAAAATTGTATACAATTAAATCCAAAAATTACTACATAATTAACAAACGACCATCTGGCCTGCTTAAATGTTAAATTAAAACGAAAAGTCAGAAGCCTTAGAAGCGGAGGATTCTCCATTTGTAACAGACTGTGAAAATTACCCATTAGTCAAATTAATAACATTAAGATATCCACTTCCCTGCTTCATTGCACTCTCCAATGACTAAGCAAATAAGACACTATCAATCAACATGCTGCACAAGTGCACATCATATACTGACAATTTCCCCCTCCAATGACAATAAAAATTCAAAGTAGGGCACAAATCAAACAAAATTGCTATTAGTTCATGATATCTTCAACATCAACAAATATTAGTAATATGATAAACAAGTAAATTCTGCTCCAGTGTCCAGTAGGATATAGGAAATGCAAGTATCCAATAAGGTGTTGTGATTGCACATGAATTATGTAGTTTAGTTAAATTGAACCATTGATGCACACCTTTCTAGATTTTTTTTTCTTTTTGGGGTAATAAAGAAGGATCATTTAAACAGGATGCATTGAATAATTCACTCGGATACTTTTTATGACTGTAACAAAATACATATTTCCATTAATGATAAAAAATTATAAAAAATACAAAAAAAAGGTTAATCCAAAAAGGATAGAGATGAGGGAAGAAAAATAGATAGTTAATATAGTCATACCGATTCCAATGCATAAACAGGGACCATCAGAATGAGTCCTATTAAAAACTTCTGCTCCTGAATTTAAGAAGAAAAGGCACATAATAGAAACATACAACATAAAAATATTGGTAACGAAAAACCAAAATAAAATGAAAAGATCCAGAAAAGGAAAGGAAAGGAAGATGATAACAAACCTCTGGTTGATTATAAGAAGCTAAATGCTCAAAGATGAGGTACACAGAGAGGACAAGAGCAACAAATACAAATATGCTAGCACTGAAGACTGGCCAGCTGAATTCTACAGCTTCTTCAGCACCCAAGTTTGACAACGATATTTTCTCTGACCTACTTGATGATTCGACTAGGGTGAGAAGAAAAAGTGAAGAATAGAAGGCACCTCTCCATCCCATGGAATCGTAACACGCAAGAATCTTATTCAACAGTCCAAGAGGTCAATGTCTGCCTATCACAATTTTTACAAGCTGAAGAATCTACAACTCAAGAAATATATTCACCACTCCTTGTTTTCAGTCGCTCAATATAGTTTCCTTTCCGTTAACTGTGAGAAACAGCTGCTATAAAACTCCAAATTTACAAAGAAAATCCCCTTACTGTGTTGTCAAAAAAATGCACAAATTGAGAAGAAAATAATCATACCACACTACAATTTCATTATCCTTTGCCACTCATTTTTTTATATGGTCTTAACATCACTTGCTTCCAAAAGAAAAGGAAAGAAATCTAGTGGAACAGGACCAAAATCACCTGTAGAGAAGATAGAACCGTAGATTCAACAAGAAATACCAGAAGAACAAACACCACATTGATGATAACCACCATAACTAAATGAAGAAGAGAAAATGGCATTCAGGTAGAAAAGAAGCATCACATAAATGCAATTCCAAAGTTCCAATAATACAAAGGAAAAGCATTGGAAATTGGATACTGAACTAATCTACCTATAAAGAGGCAATAAATTACATATCTACATACAAAATCAGGTTAGTAAAATTACAAGAAGCGCTGATTGATGAAAATTCCACTTTAAAAATATGTAAAATAAGTTACAACCCATCTTAATTTCAAAAAAATCAACTTAACGGTTGAAAAGCACTTAACAGTGTAGCTCAGGAGTGACTATATGAGAATAATATAATCTGCCCACTTTCAATTACTAAACTGATGCTAAAAAGTGGTTATTCCAATACAGATATCCAGCATGAGAAACCGACAACCAATATTCTTTCCGGATCCTTTTACCTTTGAGTTGTTCATTCATCTACCAATCTTCTTAGCAATCCAAAGGTTATTACATTATCAACTAGAACAGGCTAATGCGTACAATATATGTTAATTAACAATAAATATATAACCAGCAAGAACAATACAAAGCTTTTAGCCTCTCTTAAGAAGCATAGATTCATAAAGAACAAGGACAAACCAACATAAAGTGATTGAACATTCAGAGGTCCACTACTTAGCTAGAAAAGTTCCTGCACTAAGAGGCAAAATTTTGTTTTATATATGCCCCCAATTTATCAACATTCAAGAAACCATAGTATGTTCGATTAAATTTATCAAATTTAAAGTAATTCCTCAAAACTGAATGATCTCAGGGCCACCAAAGCAAGGCAAAGCAAAGAAGTGACGAAATGTATTTGACTAACCTTTCGCTGATACAACGAACAATCAGAGCAGCATTTTCTTGAGTTCTCCCCGCAGATAAACAAGAAAAATTATTAACCCTAACTGCAATCGAAAAAGAAAGCAAGGTGCAACACTGCAAGAAAACCCTAGAATGTTGATTACACTGAATGAAAATAAACCCTAATGGTACTAAAACCACATGAAAAGAAAATGAAAAATAACATAAATATTGAAGAATACGATGGAGATAATATGATTTTTTTTAATGAAAAAAGAGAAAAGGCTCAAACCTATCGTTGAAATTCCCCACTAAAAATCAGGGTTTTCAATTCCGAGAAAAGGAATTGATCATGTAGAAATGAATGAAAATAGAAGTGTTTGGACGAAAGAAAAACGAAAACCAAATGTTTGCTTAAGGCGGTTGGGAAAAGGAAATTATTTTTTCTTTTCCTTTTATAAAGCAATAATGAAAATGTGACAGACAAGGTTTTTTTAATTCCAAGACCTTGAGCCACTATGTTTATGATCCACGTGGCTTTGATCTTCGGAAGTAGCGGCTGAGGTGCAAGATCCAAGTGAGGCTGTGAGGATGGGCGTTTGTGAGAGGCCGTCGTTTGAGAGGATGGAATTGAAAACTGAGATAAAAGAAGGATTGCTTTATAACGAAGGATCTAACGTGGCTGAGAAAAGATAAACGACGAGATGATTACCACGTCATTAATAAACGGTGGTTCTTTGACAAAAAGTTTGGCCTATTAACTACGACGACTGATTGTTGGCAGATGGAAAGGACCCACTTTTCGGATTTGTTGCGCCCACTCAATTGCTTAATCAGCTTAGTTATAATTAAATATCGATGTTAATAATATAATTATATTGTCCAGTCTTAAATTTTGAACAATCATATATTTATATTTTGTTGATAGATAATATCAAATTTTCTTAAACATATTTAGAATATAATAATTATAGAATTATTGAGTAGCTTGAGTGTTAGAAGATAATTATTGTATCTGTATGATATATAGTATATCAAATTTTGATTAAATATATTATAATAAATTAAATTATCGAAAAAGAAGATAATAATTATAATTAAATATTTTATTATTTAAGGTATATATATATATATATATATATAGCAGGAAATATAGTTGGGGATTAAAAGTTCACCTAAACAGATTATCCAATGGCCAAAAGGCTACAAATTATCCATGTTCTCGTTAACGATGTTAAGCAAATATAATACAACTGCACGGCAGTTGACATTTCTGGAACCACGTTTATGGATTAAATTAATATTCATTTCCATGTTTTCATAAATTTTGTGGTCACGGAAGTTGACATTTCTGTTGGGGGGGGGGGGGAGACCACATTGATAGATGAAATTGATATTCATTTTAATTTTTATACAAATTTTGTGGTCACGGAACTTGACGTTTGCTAAAAAATACATCACATTTATGAATGAAATTAATATTCATTTAGAAATTACATAGATATTGATATAAAGTAACTTTAAAGTTATATAGATTTTGATATAAAGTACCTTTAAAATTATCAGATACCGATATAACGTAACTTTAATTTTTTTTAGAAACTAATTTTATTAAAAAAGCGAAACATATAAAATTACAATAAAAATTTACGATCATAATTATAAATTAAACACATAATAGGACATTTTATTATATCTATTGACATAAAAAATAATAGTTACTTAAAATCACACAAGAACTATACAAGTAAAATATTAAAAATCTAACCAAAAAAACTCGCACAAAAGATGTATACGAACATATTTGATCGCATCGACAATCAAAAAAATATTAAACTTCTAAAAGATCACTACATACCGCAAATCATAGTCGAACGACGTAAGAAAACTATTCACAAACGTAAATTATATATCCAAATCTAATATGAGGGTCCAAATAAACAAAGATCGACATAATAACAAATAAGACCGACTAAAAACATTCCAAAAAATAGAGAAAAGTGTCAATGATTATAAATTAAAAAATAGAGTAAACTACCCGTTTAGTACATAAAACACTAGTCTTAATCCATTTTAGTACTTAAACTTTTTATTTTTTTCAAAATCATATCTAACGTTTAATTTTTATTTCATTTTAGTACCCCATCATTAAAAACTTAACATGTTTAGTACCTAAACTATAATTTTGGTTCGTTTTAGTACCTAAGCTTTCAAAAAAAATCAAAACTTAACACTAAGTTTTTAACAGATACTAAAATAAAACAAAAATTAAATAATAGGTATTATTTTGAAAAAAATAAAAGTTTGAGTACTAAAATGGATTAAAAATGATAGTATAGGCACTAAACGCATAGTTTACCCTAAAAATATTAATATAAACATGTATTAGGGCTTGAGAAAGTTAAGGAATAGTTGAGCCCAGCATGAGTCCGCTTAGCCCCACCAATAAATATTGTATACTAGTCCGGAACTTACCAGTAACCGACACCGTTTAGCAAATTCCTTCCACATGCGTTGCGTTTTGTTGCCCATCGTTCTATATCCTCAGACATTGCTTGACAGAGCAGTTGTTTAGAGCTTGCTGGGAGAAAAAAAATCATTAACCTTCAAATTCTTCATAAATTCAGGAATGGATTTATTAGTCTCAGGTTGGAATTTAAAGCAGCTTTCAATTCCAGTATCACCTTCGCTTCCACTTGTACCACCAGCATCTCCATTTCCCGCCGCTACTACTTGTAGTTGTAGCTTTTACAAGTCTCGAGTATCAGCACGCAAGGTTTCGTCCCCATTTCGGGCACATCCTTTGGATAGAAACTCAAACAAGTCCTCTCCTCCGTTTGTAATTTACGCCAGGAAGAAAAACACCAAGTCCGAGCCGCCTTTGGAACCAACCCTTGTTGAAGAAGTTTCAATTGACGAGGAAGATGAGCAGCTTTTCTTTGATGACTTCGAAGATGGTAATTTTATGAATATCCAATACCCATTTGCTCTATCTGTTTATGATTGTGTGCGTGTGCTTTAAGCTTCCGTGTTTCTGCTCTATTTGATTGTTAATTGAAAGTAAATGAAAATTGGGAATTTCCAGAACAAAAACTGTTACTTTTTCAAGAATTATGGCTTGAGATGGAGCTAAAGTTCTTTTATTTTTGTTACTTCGAATTCTCGTTATGAATTATATGGGATAATAATATGTATTATTTGTAGTTTAAGAATTGAAACCAAGTTACAAAGCTAGTTTTTTTTAGTTGTGGTAGGAGTGAGTTGAGAGCTGGCTCAACTCGGGAAATACTCATAACTAGTTGAGTGGAGCGTGAGCTGGATAACTCAAGTGGTTCCTTGTATCGAGTACAAGCATCTTAGCACCTTGCTTGAGGAAGCTGCTCGAGCTTATTGAACCCTTTTTCCCTCAAACTTTTGAAAGCTACTTAAAAATACTTATAGAAATTTCAGTCATAAGTATAATAATTTGACACTCAAGTAACTTGATTCTTTCATCAGTCGAGCTGGAGATTGAAACGTAAAACTCAATCAAAGCAAGAAATTGGATTGCCCTATTGAGTTTATAGTCAAGCTGGAGATGGGGCTTCATACCGTATTGAGTTTAACTTGACTAAGCTTTGTTATACCCCAGTTATACTAGTTGCTAAAAAGTCCAAACAAATACTGTTTACCTTTTTCATTCTTTACAGTTCTCGTAGATTTCTTATATGTTGAATGAATCTCTGATGTAAAATGAATTTTCTTGACTGCATAGATGAAGCAATGATGGACGAGGATGATGATTTTTTCGAACAGGAGTTTGCAGAAAATGATACTGAACTCTATGTAAGTTCTACTACAAGAGTTATTTGCAACGTTTCCTGTTTTTGTTGGTCAAAGCTTGCACAATTTGGTAAAACTTGGGTGTACATTCTTGAAGGTTGGTGATGGAGCTGGAGGAGGAGGAATTTCTCTTGCTGGAACATGGTGGGATAAAGAAGCATTATTATTAGCTGAGGAAGTATGTCAATCCTTTGGTGGTGATTTGGGCATATATGCCTTCAAAACATTATCAAATTCCTCCATTCAAGTCCGTGTCGAAAGGCTCACAAATAAGTAAGCATTTTTCTTGGCACCTTTTGTTTTTCAAGAAACGGAAATGTTGGTAAATCTGCTTCCTTCATAATGTGGTGATATTTTGTCAATTAACCTGTATACTGTTACACCTGATTTATATTGCTTTGTTTGCATGTATCATCTAATGAATCATAATAGGTTTAAAGTCGATATTGAATGGTACACATGAATGAATTTATTTAATAGGATATTCTTGAACATTTCCATTTTTAATACTCAGCATCTTATTGAAAGTGAAAACTATAATTTAAACTAATCCAAATTTCATATCATAAGACTTGAGGTTGAACGAACAAATGAGCTTCAACCAATTAAATTTCCATATTGATGGTACTTGTAGTCATAGCAACAATATTTACTTCTAATGTGGTCCTTTATGGTGATCCTAAAAGTTTAACCAGAAACATATAGTGAAAGTACCCTTTGAATGATTTTAAATGGGTAGCTTTTTCATGGGGTTGTCTCCTCCCTTTAGCCATGCCAAGTGTCGTGTTAGCATGTGAAATCAAAGAATTTGTTATTGCCTGTTGTTTATCAATATAGCTTCCAAGTCTTTTCTGGACGCGAGTCTCCCTTTTTTGTTCAAAAATATGTTAATTGTAAAGTCAAAATTATCATGATTTTTTTTTATGGTTTAATTGTTCTCAGTCAGCTCTTTGTTAATTTTCTTCTCATTATAAACCATCCGCTTAAAGGCCAAGGAACGCCTCTGGACTCTAATTTATAATGATCTGACAGATCTGGTTCCCCTAGCATGGAAGATATTGAAGCCTTTTCTGTAAGTTACAGAGAAAAATTGGATGAAGCTGAACTTGCAAGATCAGTAGCAGAGAATATAACCTTGGAGGTGGTGATATTTCCGAATCTTTCCGTTTTCTGTTACTTCTTTTGTGATTTGTGGTGAAAAAAAGTTCCTTTCTGAGCAGGCAAACCTATTTTATGGTACAATACAATGACAACTTATTAAGCCTTAGGTTAAGTACACTAGATTGCATACATCATCAAATACCATGTTTTTTTAGGATCAGAAGTTAGTATATCTTCCACAACCTTTAGTGATTAATGCCATAAAGTTGAAACTCGTATTCGGTTACACATCATACAGAATTTATTTTAGCTGTTAGTTCTAAAAGTCTGTTATTTTCAGGTTTCATCTCCTGGTGTTGAGAGAGTAGTTCGGATACCAGAAGATCTTGACCGGTTCAAGGACCGCTCTCTGTATGTGAAATATGTGACTGAGATGCTGACAGCGGTAAACTGTCAGAAGCTGATGGTGTTTTCAGGCTTGTCTCTTTTGACATGGAAACAAAATGTTGCACCTGGGGTATGGCTGATGTGAGAATAAACAGAGAAAAAGCAGGGAAAGGGAGACCACTTAGCAAAAAACAGAGAGAATGGCGTTTGGAAACTACATTCGATTCTTTACGCTTAGTTCGACTGTATTCTGAAATGTGAATGCTGTCTTTTCTTTTCTCCTCCCACAACATACATAGTGAATCAGCTAGGTGGTGCTTTTATTAACATTATCATCCAGCATTTGAGATTTACTACATGAAACTGTCTTCAAACCAGTGGCGGAGTTAAAAATTTTAATATCCTATTCTAGAATATATTTGAGGTATGCAAATTTCCTTATTTTTTTATTCTCATTTATAAATTAAACTAAATTTAACAATTTTCTTAAAATAATGGATGTGCAATGTACATCCGCCCCGCATCAAACATGTGTTGTAAAGATATATCTCGAAGTGGACGTTTTGATTCCAGAAGCAAGGTTTATGATGTGTGGTTTTTCTGAGGGTTTAAACATATCCGACCTGAAATGATCTTGACATAGGTAAAAAACAAAAATATTCAAATATTTAGATAAAAATATAATATAATTTAAATACCTATTTTGAGTTGGTAAAAAACAAAAATACAATATCAAAATATGAGATTCAAGGATGTTGTTATTACCCATGCATGCACCTAAGTTAAATGTCATCCTTTCTCTCCAAGTTAAACTAGTTACACGGACTATTTTTTTATGTTTTCTTCACTGATTACAGTTATGAGGATTAGCCCTTGGTGAAGAAAAGTAAAACAAATCAACGTCCTTGTTTGGAAAGGAAACCGCAAAGATAGAATACCCGACACTCACGTAAGAGGTTTGTCGGAACCGTCTTTCGGTTGTACCTTGGAATTAGGCTTCGACTTGGATTAAATGAATTGGAGTTGACACCGATCATTTATTTTAAAACAAATGGGTTGATCGGATACCGTATTTCTTACTGATCTGCGTCTTTCCAAAGATGTGTCGGAATCGGGAGTCGGTTACAGTCAAAAAAAGATTAGGACCCTTGAACTGCTCTTTCGGTACTACGCAATTTCTAGTTGTCTTAAATTAAGAAAATTGTAATTTAAAATTAAAAGGTAACAATACGATCCCAATTACTTACCTTAGATAATTTTAAAGGTGTACCCTTAAGAGAGTCAAGAAACGTGTTAGATAAAAAAAAGAAAATAAATAGAATAAAAAAATAAAAAAAAACCACCGAAATAAAGGAATAAAAAAAGGAGTGAAGATAAAAATGAATACGATAAGAAAAATAAAATGAAGAAAAAAAGAATAATAATGATAATAATATATACATAATAAACAAGTAAATAAATAAAGAAAATACAAATAAATAAAACAAATGTAAAGAATATAAAAAATAAAGATAAGGAATAAAAATAAAAATGAAATAGAAGGGAAAAAATAAAAAAGGGTAAATAGAAATAAATAATAATAATAATAATAATAATAGTAAGTAAAGAGTAATAAAAAATAAAAAATAATATAAGAATAATAAATAATATATATATATGTAATAATAAATATAATATTTGCAACAAATAAAAAATAAATGAAAAATGTATATATATATATATATATATATATATATATATATATAATAATGCGTATAGATAAATAATAGAGAAAAAAATAATAATGGTAGAGAAATGAAATAAAATAATATAAAAAATATATAATGAATATGCATATAAATAAAATGTTTTAAAAAATAATAATAAATTAAAAAAAGATAAAACAAAATAAAACATATAAAATATAATAATAATAATAAAGAAGTATATATAATAATAATAGTAAGAAAAAAATTGAATTTTTTAAACCTCTTCCCCTCCTCTTTCCAAATGTCCGAACGATTTTCACAAAATAGCCTCGGGGTTCCGTAGATATAAAAAGTTAGTTTCAAAAAAAAAACCCTCCGGTCATCGGTCTTTTGAGTTTTTGTGGTTTTACAAATTGAAGGCAAGAAACAAACAACACATGCAAGCCTAACAACCGAAAAAAGGTAAGGTTTTTTACCTTTATTGCCTTCGAAACTTTGGAAAAAAATGCTTTGATTGCTCCAAATTTTCTGTTCTTATTTCGTCTATCAATTATCTGTTACAATAGTGAGTTACAATGGCTATTTATAATGCTTATGGATCCTATTTTTAGGAGTTTGAATCATAGTAAAACTCTATCATATTTTTAGGAGTTTGAATCATAGTAAAACTCTATCATATTTTTAAGAGTTTGAATCATAGTAAAACTCTAATGTTATGTTTGTTTTATGAATCCCACTAAATTGGGATTGTTGAGAGTGTTGTACCCGGACGAAAATGTGTGTTGATAGCTGCCCCTCTTTGCACATAGTCGTGTAACGAGGATAGGGCAAAGATTAAAAGACACGTTTTTCATTCGGTGGAGTTGAAAATTGACTCTGATGTTTCAATAACTCCCTGTCGAATTGAGTTGCGGATGACTCTTCTGTCGTGAGATCGAGTTGAACTGGAAGCTTCTGAGCACAATATCATTCGTCGTGAAGTTGAAATCGAGCTCAAAGCTCTTGGCGAGTGGCCTCTGAATCGTCTTCTGGCTCAAGATACTTCATCGTGAAGGTGAAACTTGACCTGAAGACTTTGGTGTTGATGTGTTACAAATGTCTCATTCGTCGTGAAGTTGGGTCAATCTGTTTGTGAAGTTGGAATCGTATAGGACCCATTCGTCGTGAAGTTTAGCCTGAGTATTGGATGTCCTTCGTCGTGAAGTTGAAATCCAATGTAAGTTGCGCTGTTCCGAGGCTAATATCATTCGCTGTGAAGTTGAAATTGACTCGGAAACTGGAAAGTTTATTGACAGACACTCCTTCTTTGAGTTGGATATCATTCGTCGTGAAGTTAAAATCCAATCTAGAGATGGATGTTGCTTGTGTGCACGATTCTCTTCGTCGTGAAGTTGAAACCGAGGGTGGCCCCTTTGTTGTGAAGTTGAGCCTGGAATTGGATATCCTTCGTCGTGAAGTTGAAATCCAAGTAAGTTGTATTGTTTCGAGTCTAATATCCTCCGCCATGAAGTTGAAATTGGCTCTGAAACTAGGAAGCCCCTTCGTCGTGAAGTTGAGCCTCAAATGGCACGATATCCTCCGTCGTGGAGTTGAAATCGTGGATGGTCCCTTCTTCGTGAAGTTGAGCCTTGACTTGAATATCCTTCGTCGTGAAGTTGAAATCCAAGTATTGTATGTTGCGGGTGGACACGATTCCCTTCGCCGTGAAGTTGAAACTGTGGATGACCCATTCGTTGTGAAGTTTGGCTTCGAGTTAGATATCTTTCATCGTGAAGTTGAAATATATTCTCGAGCAAATTGTGTCGCTTCGAGTTCAATATCCTTCGCTGTGAAGTTGAAATTGACTCTGAATGAAACTGAAAAGTTATTTGTTAACAGTCAGTCGCCCCTTCGCTGTGAAGTTGAGCTTGTGGTGTCTCGAGTCCAATATCCTTCGATGTGAAGTTGAAATTGACTCTGAATGAAATTGAAAAATTGTTTGTTGACAGTCAGTCGTCCCTTCGCTGTGAAGTTGAGCTTGTGTTGTCTCGAGTCCAATATCATTCGATGTGAAGTTGAAATTGACTCTGAATGAAACTGAAAAGTTGTTTGTTGACAGTCAGTTGCCCCTTCGCTGTGAACTTGAGCTTGTGTTGTCTTGAGTCCAATATCCTTCGCTGTGAAGTTGAAATTAACTCTAAATGAAACTGAAAAGTTATTTGTTGACAGTCAGTCGCCCCTTCGCTGTGAAGTTGAGCTTGTGTTGTCTCGAGTCTAATATCATTCGCTGTGAAGTTGAAATTGACTCTGAATGAAACTGAAAAGTTATTTGTTGACAGCCAGCTTTTCTCAACTTAAGTTGTGCTATAAATTTCCTCTAAATGAAGGATTACCCCTATTCGCGGGTCTAAACTGATCATAATTCTTTGGATGACCCCTTTCATGAGAAAGCCAAATTTTGTCAGTCGGATATCCTCCATCGTGGAGTTGAAATCTAGCTTGAAAACGTGAACTGGATCCGTTCTGAATTAGCTCTCGAACTCGTCTGAAGTTGATTATAAGATCTATCGATCTTTCAATATGTCAAATTAGTTGAGGTGTAGCTCCTCGCTGCTAAGTTAAGCAACCACCATCGATTTTTTACAAACTCTTTTGAATCAAGTATCTTTCGCCTTGAAGTTGAAATTTGACTCTAAAGCTACAAAAATTATGTATATAAAAAAATGATAAATATGATGCTCTAAAATGTATGCATAATGAATTAATTATTGTGTTATTCCTCAGACAAAATCTCATTTTTTGTCTACTAGTTCCTGCATGTGGAGGAAAGACCTTCGGAAGATCTGATCGTTCGCATCAGCATTTTGAATCCCCGAAGATGCCCCAATATTCGATGTTGAATTTCCAAAAATACCCCAACATTTTATGTTGAATCTTCAAAGGTGACCCCATTGTTCCTCATTTCTTGCTTCAACATTGATTCTAAGCATGAGATTAGTGTCTGAGAGCCAAATGTCATTTACCAAAATCCACTCTAGAGAGATTGTCTTGTTTGAAAAAAATGTTATTCTTTCTCTTTTATTTTCAATGTTCTGAAAATATCAATTAAAAGAGTTTCGAAAAATGTTTAACCAAAAGTTTATTTGATTATCAATGGTTTCATGGGGTAGCTCGCATGCTCCTTTACTAGAAGTGTTCTCCGACTCCCAGCTTTCATGGTCACACTCAGATTGGGCGATGCCTTTTCAAGGAATTTGTATGATCGCCTCAGTTGTACAATTTTTATATTCGAGCCGCCTTTTCAAGTTTTTAACTCGAATCCTCCTTTGGTTTCAAGGCATAATAAGAATTTATGTCTTAAACCCCCCATTTATTATTTTTCTCTATCATGCATTAAAGATTTTAGAAAACTTTTTGCAAATAAAGATTAATCCTGATGGACGGGATGAAACCTAAAGATAGTCTCTTCTGTTCAGAAATTCATGTATGATCAGAAGGGACTTTTAAGGCACGTAATGTAGGCCATGGTTCATGGTTAAGAAAGAAAATGATAAATAGGCCCAAACAAGTGTTTCAGGGTATTGAACCAAAGATCAATTCATCCGGATGCCTTCAATCCTGTCTTGCTAAATTTGAATAAGCTCAT